ATACGCTGGAGAGGTTTCTTGAATATGTTACAACGGGCAAAGAGAGGATATATAATAGTCTCAAATATTGGGATGAAGATGATGATAAATATCGGATTAAGGGACGAGACTTGATCGGGCAAGATGACAAACTTCCCAAAGCGTCCGTCTAATCTCAAAGCCTGTAGTGTCCATCGTGAACCTTGCTGATCAAATAGTGCCCAGAATATTGGCAAAGGCAAAAACATAACAAGCACACGGAGCAAAAGCCAGACATCAAAAACAAATTTACGAGAGAATTTTGGACTAGCATTGTCCATGAAATTACGAGTATTTTCAATCTTTCCGTACTTAATGCGGTGATAAATGGCATATCCAACTGACCATGGCACTTTAAAAAACAACATAGCTGCCTCTCTTTTTGGCTTAGTTATAACATACCACTTTGTGCCAAGGATAAAGATACCTAATAATAATAATAATGAGGATAATTATAAATGCATTAATGCATACCAACTGATACAATCATTAGAACAGCAGGAACTCCAAATGCTAGGGGGAAGCACTCATCTTCACCAAAACAGGATACATAACCTAATAAAATGGACATCAATGTCATTAACAATAATAAAGATGTACAACAAACCTCTCAATACTGGTGTCAGTAGAGTTGAGATAAGACTGCCAGCATTAATCGAGAAATAAAATATTGAAAAGAACACAGGGAGCAAGTGAACATTCTTTGACGTAAACTGATCACCACCAAAAGCTGATACACATGGCTTAATACCACCAGTACCAAATGCTATTACTACCATAGCAATTGATGCCAAAATACTGAAATATTGTTATGAGAATGAGAGACAAAATAAACTAACATACATGTTAAGGACACGATCAGAGCTAAATGGAATGGCTGAGATAGCCATTAAGACATTACCAACGGAATAAAGTATGGAGAGGCTTAGAATAGTCCTAAAAAGTTATTATTACAAAAGATAATAATCTACTTAATATAATCAGTACCTACCCATATTTCCCCAAACAGCTATCAGATATAATGGCCCCAACCAGTGGCAATAAATAACAAAGGACAATAAAAGAATGGTAAATTGCTGTTGCAGAGTTTTCACCAAAGTCCAAGAACATTGTCAAAAATAGTACCAGTACAGCTACATGTATGAGATAGAAAGTGTGTATGAGGAAGAAGATAATGAAACACAAACACACATGTACACATGCATATATAATATTAAGATAGAAACAAGAAAGGATCAGAAGGATGGAAGTACAATGTATATACCTCTCATTCCGTAATAGCTAAATCGTTCACAAAACTCATTCCACATGATAAAGAATACAGGGAAAGGGAGCTGGCAAATCTTGCACTGCATAACACACAAAGACACAATGATTAAATGACACAATGATTTGATACGACTTACCCAGACTCTTCCCCATGCCTTACCAGACAATTTACTAAATCTACTTTGTTTACCCACAGTAAGACTCTTCTGACCTACAAAGAAGTGTGTGAACATTCTTACTCTTAAACAAACCCAAACAAACCTGGGAAACTTTCATATTGCTCGGTATCGCCCTTGGATTGCTCAGTGTCTGTATCGTACACACATGATGTATCTAGAATTGAATACTAAACAATGGACTATCAGTGCTAACACCTGTAACCTTTGTGTTCCTCCAGAAGGCTCTTCGTCTGGCTCTCGTCCTCGTCCATTATTGCGAGTCTCCTCCGAGATAACACTGACACGCCCTAAAAATACTAGGACTTTGGAAATTATTGAACACCACCGGATATGTAGAGTAGTATGATCAAAACGATACTTGTAGGTGTCAATAGTACATTTTGGCTACAAAATCCATTGAATAGTACAGAGTGTAGTATTTTTTTGTGGTAACATTTAGATAGGCACCTGCTTATAAATTTAACAACACTAGGTATTAAAATAAAAATTAATTTTCTCATAAAATTATGATCAAACCAAAATTAAATTAGCACAAAGTCAGTGCACAAATTGAAAAATTTAAAATTTGTAGATAATTAAAAATAATTTTTAAAAGAAAGATTCCACACAGCACATCTCGTAATGGTTAGATTAGAAGTTGTAAATTATTATGCAGTTGTGTTGATTTTTGAAAAAATAATTAGAAGCAGTGTCGTTCTTTTTTAAAATTAATTAATCATTCATCACATTATCCAGTTGCTAGGAACCCAGCGTTTACCATACGAGTACAACCTCAACGCAGCACACAGTTCTTCATAAGCAACATCAATGTTTTCATTAACTATCGATGCATCAAAGTAGTGCGAGTAAAGATTCTCAATGCGACAAGACTCCTGATAGCATAACTCAAAGTCTCTTTCCTAAAAGAATAACAAAAATTGCTTTTTAGACTCCATCTCTCACTCTAACTTACATCTAATCCAGAGAATCCACCTTGCTTATCAACCCGGGCTGATCTATGCAGTCTGCGTACACTGTCAGGACTAGAAGCTTTAATGAACACAACCAGAGGACAGAACTGGCTAGTGCGAAGATGCTTTAATGCCTTTACCTGTCAGTAAACTAACTGCCAACAGGGTAATGCTCTTACTTGTGGATGAACATCAAGTACACATATCTTGGAGCTATCAATGGCACTTTGGATTGATTCTGCCTTTATGCCATACAGATGCTCTTTGTGCTTACCGAATTCAATAAATCTGAAGTAGGAAAGCATTACTAGGAGAGTTTCAATGATGACACTTACTTGTGAAGCATTATGTCTTGTCTCATTTCATTCTCAGAAACAAAATAAAAGTTACCCTGGTCTTCATCATTTTGAATATCTCTAGTAGTATCTGGTAATAGAAAAAGAATACTATAATTATTTGTAAAATTAGGAGGAAGTAGTAAAGACGAGAGAAGGAAATGCATGTACATGTGTACATGTATATGTAAATAAAATAGTGCAAAACCATAAGGAAGGTAGGAGAAAAACTCACGAGCATTCACATCACAGTATCTATCTGGATATTCTGCCAATAGACGGGTCTTAAGACTTCGTCTGCCAATGTTGGGAGCACCTACATATAAGAACAAGCACATGATTGAGAAAGAAGACCAAATTTACTTACCAATCAAAACTAAAACTTTGTACTGAAAATCTTCTACCATCATTACAGGTTCATACAACACCATGTCATAAGATTCAAACTCTACAATACATAATGACACTAATACTAACATAGATACATTACAGACCTCCACAATGGTGAGAACTATACATAACTTTCCTCTTTGGTTTCTTCTTGCCAACACATCCTGAGAAATGCCATAAAACACAAGGTCATTTTTCTGTACAACTTTACTTACCAACAGTTATTCGTCCATCTGCAGAATTAAATGCTTTCCTCCTATGAAAATATTTACATGACAATGATGACATGTGATCCCATCATAATTACTACACTTGCCTCTCCTCAAGCATTCTACTAGGTATTAGGCCAGCAACTTGATTCTCACCATATTTAATGGCCTGCTAGAATAAAAGACTGTTCAATGTGTAAGGAACACATTACCTGCCACCAGAAGCTATCATCTTGATTCAATACTCTCAGAATGTCTCCCTTTTTAAACGAGAGCCCAGCTTCTTGTGATGGTATCAACTTGTCACCTCTTGGATCATAATCAAAATGGGCTTTCATGAATATCTAAAATTAGTAAAAAAAGTAATTAGTTTTTGATTGTAAGAGTATTGATTTGATACTAACAGGCTCACAATGACTACAAGAGTACATTATAAATTCTATAATGCTATTATTTTACTATTATGTACACATGTATATCTAGCTCACATCAGTTAATCCGGCGGTTTCCTTGAAGCCAGGTTCCACTCTTATCACAACAGAGCCAGAGCTATGTTTCTATAAAAAAGATTTCACATCAAGCAACTGATGAATGAATATAACATCTCACAAGCATTGCTTGTAGATCGGCTGGGCTCATACTGTCAACCATTTCACCATTGACTTCAACAATACGATCACCAACTTGTAAAAGGCCTAGTAATGTAGAATGAAACATTTTACAACCTTTAACTCATTTCTAACCTTGTCTATGAATAAGACCTCCATGTAATATTCTTGCTATGACAAGTTTATTGTTTAGTAGCTTTAATGTTACTCCCTAAAGAGGAATAGATGATGAGAAAAGGAGCAGAGAGAAAGAGAGAAGAAAGAATAGATTACAATTATGAATAAAAGATAGAAAAGAGACAAAGAGTTAAACTTACAAGTGGTTCATTTGAGCTTTTGTGCAAACCAACAGTACGGACATCAGCTCCATTACCTTTCCTGGCAGATCTGGTTTGAGGATGAAAATGAGGATCAAAGGCTGGTAGCTGAGTCTCATATGCTCTTTTCCTAACTTGATCATGTACTGACAAAATAGACTAATACAAAATATTTTATAATAAAAATGATTTACAAGTGTCATACTTCTAAAAATGGTTTTTGAAGGAGGTCCATCAGCTCTGCCTCTGTCTTATCACTACAAGGGGTGTGAGCTCTTAGCTACAGTACATAGGAAGACGTTATAGAGAGTAATAAAATGCTACTGATTTGTATCATCTAATCTTACATCATGAATGGCATCAGTAGCACTCCCTTCTGGTTGATCGAAACTCTGAGAGTAAGCAACTTTGTCATTTATGTCACAGAGCGTTTTAAAGCCAGGGTTACTAAAGAAACTCTTGAGGAATGTTATATCATCTTCCTTTACGAAATCTTCTTCTTGCAACAATTTAAGTGCTTTTTCTAGCTTGACTAAAGTCTCTATAAGTCAAGATGGACAAAAGCTAATGAAGCGAATATTAGTATCAAAACAAACCTTTAAAATTCCCAATACAGCCACTGTCATTAGGTTGCAGGGACTCCGTAGTAGCCATCTATCGTGATAGAGAAGCCATTAATGACAGGCCAATCAAATTAGGCCCCAATAATAGCAGACATTGGAATGTGCAACTATAGTTACTGACACAATGAACAGCACATAGAAACATTATGTCGACATTTGTTACATGGCAGTGACTGACACAGGCACAGCATTAATATGGAAGAGATCAATGAAAGTAATAATGCTTTGAAAACCTCCCACGTTCAATTCAGTCATTGGGTTATTATAACAGATTGAGGCAGTGAGCCTAGTGAGGCTCACTTGTCCTCAATGGTACATACTGTTACACACTAATACTATAAAATCAGTAGGCAATCAGTAACAAATCCAAATGCTAATTCCCAATTCATAGCTATCGCCTCGGGTATTACTCATGACTATAAAATACTGGCCAAGTGCCAATTCCAGGATCTTGCAAATGTAAAAAATCTAATAAGTTTTATAACTGTAATTACCTAGCACTCCGAACCGAAAGAAACTCCTTTTTCTTCCTTCTTTTCCTTTACTTAGTGAGTCCCGAGTTTGTGTGTGTGTGTGCCCCTTCTTCTCTCCCACAGTCACATTCGTCACATTCCAGAAGCAATAATTAATCAAAGCTAAAGTCACCACACCTACTTCCGACACTTGAGCCACACCTACTAGGATTTGTTTGCATTTGAGCCACGCCTGCAGACTTGCATCTTTTTGAAGTCATATCATGGATTTAGAGGGATTAACTAATGAAAGTAAGAGCCTTGCTACTGCTTTCCCTTCATACCCAAGTAATTATTAAAAGGTTCCAAGAAAGGATGTGATACAAAGGATTTAATCTCAGTTGTGAATGAGCTCAGCCCATTTTACCAAGGCCCCAAAGAAGATTTGAAGTTTTTGGAGACTTTCCTGCATTCCAGCGAGTTTCAGCAATTAATGAAAGTAAGGACCTCCTGTTAGACCTATGTTGCAGCTCATGTTTGTAGATACACAGCAAAGTGCAAGATGTTCCACCAAGGGATAAACCAAACCAATCGCTCACAATACTTCATATGGTATCCTGTTTCATGCATATCCATTATTCATAAATGGACACTATTGTAGGTACTGTATGACTTGGAAGAGACTTATTCAAGTGATGCTGTGTGTGCAGAATTATACAAATGTTTAAACTCAGTTCATGTGCATGTAAGATTATTCCTTTGGTACAACTTGGCTTACGTTTAATAATCTCTATTTATCTTGCTACAGTCAGCAATTATGGCTTATGATAAAATCTTAAACAAAGACTATGCTCCGATTCCTATACATCCAGGTGATTATAAGAAGCAGGAAGAGAAAGATCCAATAATAACCGTGAGAGTAGACAAGGAGGATAATGAGCCATTGGTTAGCTAAACCTATAAACACCATTCACTCACTGTAGGAGAATTGAATTAACTGCTTTATAGGGTATAACAGTGAAATCAGATTCAAATGATAACGTGATAATATCTCGTATCATTCATGGGAAAGTTGCTGATCGTTGTGGTATTCTTAGAGTTGGAGATATTATACATGAAATTAATGGATACAGTGTTTATGGAAAGACCATTGATGATATTGCTGATGAAATGGTAAGAAAAAACTCAATTTTTTCATGCAATGTTCCTTGTAGTCAAAACTGAGTGGAACAATAGTATTTAAAATATCGTCTCCACAAGAATATCGTTTGCCACAAGTAAGGCATCAGGTATACTAATGTGTGGCATAGATTATGCTTAAGTAATGATTAATTACCATTCTAGCCTGTGACTTATGTGAAAGCGTTATTCTCTTATAATCCTGATACTGATGCTGATTTACCCTGTGCTGAAGCTGGGCTGCTCTTTAATAAAGGAGACATCCTTGCAATTTTAAACAAAGACGATCCTCACTGGTGGCAGGCTAAAGTTTATGACACGGCAAAAGTAGGATTAATACCGAGCACTAAAACAAGAGAAAGGTATTGTACAAACAAATTATTTTTTATTTATCATTATAATTAACAAAAGGTTTGAGTACAGGAGTACTTTAACGATGAAAGATACTGATAAACGTATCAAAAGAAGAAAGCCCACTGAAGTTGAGTATTCACCACTCAATTGTGAAAGTAATAAATACAGTAGTATTTCCTTTAAATATTCACTAATACTACAATTCACTGCAGTTCAAGGTGGTCATGAATTAGCAACATATGAGGAAGTTGTGAAAATGAAACCGTTAACATTACACCCTCGTCCTTTGATACTAATTGGTATTATAATATACTTACCATTGTAGCTCGTTTATTTTTTGTCAGCTCCTACTTGCCATCCTTTCTCAATGAGTGAAGTCAAATTCAAACTGATACAAAGTGATCGTGATAAATATGGACAAGCAATCATGAGTACGCAAATACACAATGATAAATACCATTATGAATCAAACACGAATCTTTTGTAGGTACCACACGTCCACCAAAAGAAAATGAAATAAATGGAAGACATTATCATTTTGTACAAAAAGAGGAATTCTTAAGGTCTCTTCAATCAAAACAGATGCTTGATCACATGGAATATGCTGGGCAACACATTGGTCTCTCTATCAACACTATCAGGACAGTGATGACATCAGGGAAAACCTGTGTACTAACATTATCTCCCAAGGTAAGTCACACTATATAGCATGACTCTAATGATATCAACTACTCAGACTTTAAAAATAGTACATTACATTGCTGAGCTAAAACCGTATGTTATATTCTTTGCTGCACCAAGAAGATCAAATGCTTGGCTTAATGTTGGATTAGTGCAAGAGCAAAAAGACATTAAGAGAGCACAGCAAGAATCGGATGAGATGGAAGCTAGATACGGTCAATACTTTGACAAGACAATTGAATACGTAAATGTAGAGCAAGCCTTCATTGCAACCCAAAGGACAGTGGCAGAAGAATTGCTCTCAAAACCACAATGGGTACCCTCTGTGTGGTCAGCTTGACTATTGTACAAAATACTCAAAACAGTTAATAACATAAAATGATAAAAGTGATTAATTATTTAATGTCCAACTTTGATATATCTATTAAATGTCTGATAGTGGGTCTACCATGCGGACAGTTCTAAAATGAAAAGACATGATTATTCATAAAGAAGATACAGTAAGGTTTGGTGTCTAACCCAGGGTTGGTCCATTTCAGCCATGTGAGCAACAATCTAAGGAATCACCACACATCATCAAAATTATAAAAAATTACTTTGATTACCTTTGACATCTCCTTTTTACCAAGAGCAGTACCAATCATAATTGAACCACGACAAGCACGACTGGCCAACATCTTTGTTACACAGTGTGGTCTCACCATTTCACCCAGTACAAATAATAATCAGTATAATGATAATAATAACAAGTATTGTTACTTACTGGGTAATCAGTCAATAAAAAGATCAGCTCTTCAATTTCTAAAAAAAACAATAAAAAACACGCATATAAAATATAAGACAGTTTTCTAACCAGAAGTTCCCATTGACCAATTTTTACTAACTGGTTGCTCAATAAGTTTCACTCTTTTAGTTGGCGGAGCTATATTCTGTAGTGTAAATGTACAACATTGAATAATGTGAACATACCTTCTTCATCAAAAGAGAAACGAAATCCATTCTTTTCAAAAACCTCCAAATTGTCTTTAATGACTGACTCACCCACAGCAGTAACTTCAACAGGCAGTGGACTAACAATTAGATACATATGATACAGGTAATGTACACAGCACATATTATCATCATTTACTGTATCAATGACTGATGCTCTAAAACAGTGTCTCTTTTGAGCCTTTCAAAATTGTACTTTTCATCAGTTGCATGCTACAAATGATAATACATGTAGTAAGCTATAAGTCACATACTGCTGAAGTCTACCGAATGAGAGCAATATTTGGTGAATTTGTTTGGCTAAGCATTTTATTCAATTTTATACAGGTGATTTGAGCATGATCAGATTGAAACAAAATGGCAGATTTTATAATGGGAATTCCTTCACAGAATCACAAATCGCCAATACTAACTCCTCACAATTACATGTAAATCAACTTGTTTAGGCTATAGCCTTACTCGTGGCAGATGGGCCCTTGCATTGCATTACCAGCAAAAACAAAGTATTGGATTACTAACAACCTTTGGGTAACCACCACCACACTTACCATGACAACAACCACAATAATTCTTGCATGTACATTTTGTAGTGCCAACAAATCAAAAATAGTACTTATACCTTTTGATTGAGGAATTACGGCTCATACATGTACATTTATGTTTATTTTAACAGAGAGATATGAAAACAGAAACATGTACATACCTGGTCAATGATAAACAGGTCATTGTCTAACTTAGCTATAATAAAACCTAAATTGAACTGGAGGAATAAAATAACAATAGCATATCAATCCTAGTCTTCCACTATACCTGGCCCAAGATTTCCATTTCTTTAAACTGCTCTTTGCTGTATAAGAAGAGAGTATGACATATAAAATGACACTAATAGTGTACTTTAGTTCACGTTTCAATTCTTCTTCAGCATCTTGATTACTGTCAGGCCTAATCTTTGCATGAAAATACCGTCTCTTACTCTCATCTCTTTCTGTTGATTCATTCTTATGCTGAATTCGAGATACTATTTTATCAATGTCAAAAGTCACTTGATGCTCATCACTGACATGATGATCTTTACTAAAAGAAGAATCCTAATGTTCTAAGTAAAAAGGATATTATAGCTAGCACTCAATCTTACCATATCATATGTTATGTGTTCAATGCGAACATCTTTCTCCCCATTAGTAAGATCAATAGAATGACTGACTCCATTCTTTGAACTGTCAGTAGTAGTGTGACTGGAAGAGCTGGATTTTTTAGTTTTCAAACAAGTAGGATGAAGAACAGGAGAAACGATACCAGCAGATGGCTGACACTTAGAAGAGGGAGTTGTACAGCTAGTTGATTGCTGATTTGGAACTGAAGGTTTTAAGATTACTGGAGATGACGTAATACCAAATGATGTCAAGCGAGACTCTAAAATCACCAATAACATAATCAATGTATAATTAATATTTCATACGTTTTTGGCTTGGCTCTTCTTCATCAGTACTCAAACTACTGGAGGCAGACAATGGTCTATAATTAAATAAAAGATAATAATAATTCATCAAAATTATGATATAAAGTACATAATGCACATGTAAACTGTTACAAAAAAAATCGATATGATAAGACTATTACACACATGTAGGCTATTTTAGTACTTTTTCTTTATACAAAAGCAAATCTCAATGTGTGAATACAGTATAATCAAATACAATGTACCTGTTTACCTTTTAATTCTTGTAAGCTTATTATCATCAGGAGACAAAACATGCTTTGTATTGCTGGAGATTGTTGAGACTAGTCTCTGCTCTGGCTTAAACATTTCCAACAAAGATGCCTGGGAATCAAATATGGAATCTTAAATACTAAATCTACAATACACGCAGCATTATGTCTAGTCTACCTTTAGAAAAAACAAAAGAGCCTTTTCTTCTTGTAACATCACTTGACGTTTATCAGGAGTCACATTGACATCAACAGATTCTATAAGGTAACATTAATTATGGATCCTTTATATGCTATTATACCTCTCTGTGTTGATATGTTCAAAACAATGAATGGATATTGATGGGGATTGAACATGTGATACACTTCATTGACAGTTTTACTCAACTAGAAAAACACCAAATGACCACAACATTGATGATGCAGAACAGATGAATAATAAACCATTTTATTGACACATACAGTTCATTCACACGAGTGGGTACATTATAATAATGGGAGTGGCCATGATATTAATGGGTGTGGTTCAGGAAGCATACCGTATAGTGGGTTTATTTCAAGGATAATAATTTTTGCGAATGGCCTGTATCCAGAGGTTCACAGAGTTAATTTCCGAGAATAACCACTTTTCTGCCGTCTTGTGCTGTATTAAATTGATTTTCAAGAAATTAAATTTTGCGAATCTTCAAAAATCTGCGAAATTTGCAAAATTTGTTATCCTCGAAATAAACCAGCTATATGGTAATCAATATTCATCAAAATTCCCAATGATATCTTGCAATGAAAATTATCTGAAACACAATTGACAAGTCATTGGTTGATTTTAATTCAATGAAAGTTTTGGCACACACAGTGACTACTGACTACACAGTAACCGAAATCAGTAACTCATTTTAATACAAAATACAAAATTGACAAATAGTGCATTATGAGACTATAATCATAATTACTACACATGATATAAGTGTCAATAAACAATTATAGTAAACACAAATTATTTACAGCCAATGCATGCTTCCCTAATAATTACGCAGCAAGCAATAATGCATTATTAACATTGTCAACAACCTTTGAATGATCACAAGGCCTTCCATTAATGAAAAAGAATTGTCTGTCAGTGCTACTTCTACCAGACCCATGTTCACACTTAGATACGAAACCGCTGAGCCTAAATAATGCAAATACAATATTAATCAAAATATAAATCATGCTCTCACTTGAATTTGCTGTATAGCTCATGATTATCAGCTCCCTCATCATCAATAGTAAGAATATCAAATGGGCACTCCACTATTGACACAATGCTTTCAGTCTTTAAAACAATAAGAAGCATTGAAGTATAAGTATCAGTGTAATTACACACATACTTGTTTGGGTCCAAAGACACACGAAATGTTGGAAATGATTTCAGAGCCACCAGAGTTTGAGAGTACAAGTTGACGTTTACTATAAGATTATATTAGTAACAGTTACAGTATTATGAAATACTTGACAGCTAGGCTGTGGTTTCAGTGTCAATTATAGGCAACATGGATTTGTGTATGAATATCTGATGCAAATATTATCATTGCTATGTAACTGTATTATTATTATTATTTCATCATGTTGATATCAATACAATAATTCTAATAAAATACTAGACATAAAGCTTAAGGTGAGGCAGGGTTTTGGTATAATGCCCAGCTTCTTGCCAGTTTATGATTAACTTGCTCAGTAGAGCTTTGTAGAAACCCTGATCCATGCTATTTTCCCAAAAATGACTTAGGAGAAAATTCTTTATTTTATAAATTTTTTGATATATATACAGGTGCTTATGTTGCGTAGAAAGTTTGAAATGATTTGAAATGATTCTGACCAAAATTGAATTTTTTTACGAATTTTAAAAACCAATTCAAAATCAGGCCAATGGCCAAATTTCGCCAAGAATGACTAAAAGAGAATCCTCCATTTTAATAATTTTTTTCTGATGCATATACATGTTCTGATATTGTGTGTCTATAGTTTCAGCTGATTCCGATCAAAACTGATTTTTTATGAATTTTTAAAGTTATTCTAAAAGGCATGCACTATGCTTGTCTGCTCATAAAGTGTGCAACTATACTTAGACCGCTTTGCAGGACACCCTGAGGTGAGGGTGAAAATTACCATCACTACGTACTTACATGTATGTGTACATGTACACTGTAAATCCTCAAATAAAACATCCCAGGCGTCTACATGTACTTCCTTCATCAAGTTCTTTTCCATTTAAGGCAGGAACTCATTCAAGACGAGCATTATTAAATAATAAAAATCCTCTTAAGAGGTTTCTTCAATGCTTTCTTCAGATTTGTATGCATCAGATTATGAATAAGAGTTTGCTTAAGATAGGCATTTATTAGGCTTTTTTTGAAAAGCCCACTTAAGACCTATCTTTTATATGAGGATTTACAGTAATGGTACATAATTGGTTTTAATGAGCAGTACACAGCCTTACATTTTTCCTGTCTGGTTGTAGCAGGTCACTTTAACTTGTTTTGATATGATACAATAGCCTTGTAACATTTGTATCATACGACCATACTCCTATGAAGAAATTTAGAACTTAATTAAAATGTGCTAGTAAAAATTTGATTTTTAAAAAATGTTATAATATTAATTTTAGCATGCACAGACAATAGTCAGCTAACTCAGCTTAGTTACATGTAACTAGTTTATATTGTGGCCTCAAATTTTCATGGTTAAAATTTTTTAAATTTTTTGTTGATGCTAATATAATTTTAGTAAAAATAATTTTAGTGGATTTAATTTGGGCCTTAGACTATAGTCAGTAAAATAGCTATTAAATTAGCTAATTCTTTTTTAACTGATACTGATGTTTGGATATTTAATGTAGTAAAAAGAGGATTTTTGAATAATACATATGCCCTTAGGCAAAGTAGCAAAGGATGCAATGAAACTATACAGTATACACCATATACAACTATCCCCATTAACTTGCACAAGCACCACCCATTAATATTAATGCTTAGTTACAATACCTTTTTCAAATTGCGATGAAATTCTTTTTGCCGAACAGGCAGAGTACAAAACAGGTTATTAAGAAATACCGTCGTACCTATCTACACGTATGAGAGAGTTAGCATTATATTGAGCATTGGTTACTTGACCTCTCGAGCACATTTTGTCTGAAGTTTAATCCGTCCAGAATGATCATATTCTATATTTGAGCCAGCAGTCTGACCACTGGTACATGTTGTTATTCTGAGATTACTAAAAAACACAAATAGTTACATGCATCTTCATGATTTCAAACTTTGTAATACTTTGAGGTAAAAAATGCATAGACATTATAAGCAAAATTTAAGTAACATCATACAGGTAAATTTGCATTCTTAGTAATGATATGTGGGTATTCTATTGTGTAAGCTTCTAATTGTAAAATAATTCTTCATAACTATTTTGTTAATTTATACTAAGTTGAAAGTGTTCCAGTATGCAAACAGAAATCAGTATAGTAACTGAAAAGCCAACCAGTCCTGCCAGATGGCAAATGTACTGTACTCAGAGTCATTAGCAATGCAATATGTCATGCATACACAAAAAAGAAATAATTATTGTAAACATTAGAAGTGAGATCATGAGAGACAGGATGCATATTTCATTTCAATATCCTGTGGTAATTTCAACTATAACCACACGAAACAGGACAAGGCATAAAACAAGATTTAAGTCCAAATTACTCCAATTATAGTCTTGGACAACTCATATATGTACATAAAGTACAAAATGACAAGACAGTTGAACTCTAAATGCTTTATCAATAAATTCCCTAATAAAGCATAACCAAAACTCCAAATACAAAACTAGGGGGAAGTCATACAATACACCATGACCACACCTTAATGCACATAATGAGCTCAATGCTTCTCCACGAAAACCAAACGTATTAATGGTGGCAATATCAGAAAAATCTGTTATCTTGGAAGTGAAATGCTTTAGTGTCAATTTCTGATAATTATCAGGATGAACACCAGACCCGTTATCTGCCACTTCAACAACTTCAGAGCCAAACTCCTTCAATCTGACTTCTACAATAGCAGACACATGATGATTAACACATTTATAAGCCAATGAATCACCTATACTGGTAGCACCCGCATCAATGCTATTCTCTACCAGTTCTTTGACGGCAACAGCTAAACTAAGGACAACCTGACCGGAGCAGATCCTGTGAACACTCTCCTTATCAATCCTCTGTAAGGATGACATGGATGACATGTATCTTGTATCTTTCCACAAAGTTCCACGTGTGTAGCCACACCCCTTGTTCATACGCGTATGTGACTCTTTATGACCGGCCATGATGTGCATGTGACACTCACAAGCAAGTGCAAAGGACAATTAAAACACTTTAAATACCGAGTCTTCCTCTTTATATGCCTCTTCATGCCAGTCCTTAGATCATAGGCCACGGCCACCTAGTCGCTCGTTGTTTTTATCATGGTTTCTCGGGGTAGCTATGAAGGTGGGATCCTATCTCCCGTCCCTGAATTTACTGCTACTCAAGAAGGAGACCGCTCCGACAGTAGATTACCTGAATTCGATGAACAAGACTACAGCAGTGAGCCATAGACACAAGTTTTATGTATCACACTTTAGGGAAATGACTAGATTAGTGTAATTATTTTTATCAAAATTAGATTTACATGTATGATGTACATACATGTACAAGTACATTCACATCTAGGCATTAATAATTTTTTCTTAATTTTTTTGCTAGGCCACAGAAATGTATATGTTGCTGTTCATGTCCCATATTCTGTACCACATCATAAAAAGCACAGGCGAAAGCACAGGAAAAAGTTTCGTTTTCAGCAAGAAGGAGGATCTGGTCGCAGTACACCACTGGTGGAAGAAGTGGATCATTTTGGTACGTACATGTACATGTACCTGCATTAAAAATAGCATAACTTATCACTAAAAATTATATAGAGCGAAAAACTCCTGTTGATCCTTGCGACCGTGTCAAATTTATATTGGGAGAAGATGGCGAAGAAGAGGAACAGTCATATCACATATTCACTGAGCTGGAGGAGTTGTGTGTCAGTGAACATGGGCAGAAGTGAGTGCATTGTCTCTTGTGGTATTTTTAAAATGATTTTATGATTTGTAGTATGGAGTGGAAGGAGACAGCTCGCTGGGTCAAGTTTGAGGAAGATGTTGAAGAAGGAGGAGAGAAGTGGAGCAAGCCTCACGTAGCTACCCTCTCTCTCCATAGTCTTTTTGATCTGCGGAGCTGCATGTTGAAAGGGACCGTACTGTTAGATGTAGTCGGTACAAATTTAGAGCATATTTCTGGTAAGTCGTTGCATTCTAGTAATATTAGGAAGTTGGCCTGACTGGTTTACTCACATGCATATTTACGAACATTTCCTTCTTTAGATATTGTTGTCGATCATTTGGTTAAGACTAATCAACTCGAAGAGGAGAACAGAGATAAAGTGAGAGTTGCACTCCTTCATCGACACAGACATCACAGCACCAAGAAAGAGTCAGACAAGAAGAGCCGGTTCCCAAACATTCGTTCTCTTGGAGACATGGTATCCAATCAGACAAAAAAAGATGAGAATAAAAATAGCCCTGCTAGTTCACATAATGGCCTACTGGGCTGGCTTGGAAGACAGAATAGTAATAGCAATAGTGATACTAATAACAAACAGTTATCTGATACTGCACCTGACTCTGGGAAAGGATCAAGTTTTCTTAATGACAGCCAGAAAGGAAATCATGATGATTCACACTACAATGTTAGTACATAACTCATGAATTCACTTTTGCTCTTTCCCTCCCCTTCCTTACTCTATCTACACTTTCTCACATACACATACACACATACATGTACATTATTTCATTATCAATTTCTGTCTTTCATGCAGTTTGATCATCATTTTATGAAGAAGCTTTTGCCTGGCTCTGAGGCATCGAATGTGCTTGTGGGAGAAGTAGATTTTCTCAAACACTCCATCATTGCTTTTGTTCGTTTGTCTGAGGCTCAGATGTTAGGAAATTTAACAGAAGTTCCTATTCCAACAAGATTCCTATTCATATTGCTTGGTCCAAAGGGAAACCACGAGCGATATCATCAAGTGGGAAGAGCTATTGCTACTCTAATGGCTGATGAAGTAATAATAGCTTATCATTTAGTATCTATTCTACTGTACTTGTGGCAATACTGTAGGTGTTTCATGCTGTGGCTTACAAAGCTAGGAACAGAGGCGATCTACTTGCTGGTGTTGATGAATTTCTGGATAAAGTGAGTCATCTTTTGTTGTTTGTTTGTGATGTGAGGATTTTTGTTGTGTATATATGTAGACCATAAATGGTACGGTCTAGGAGTTATGTCCTGCTGTTGTACATAAATGTGTTTGAGTCATTGTTTTATGTTTTTAAAGGTCACAGTCCTGCCTCCTGGTGAATGGGATCCTGATATTAGGCTGGAACCACCTTCACAGGTTCCATCGCAGACTAAAAGGATGGCTGGGAAACAAGAGTCCAGAGATCAAAACCCAACCCCCACACCTCCGGTTACTTTTTCCAAGATTCCATTCAAAGGACTTTATGATGATGCAAAGAGACGCTATCGTAATTATCTGACCGACTTCAGAGATGCAGCCTGGGATACTCATCGTAACAAATGCAGTATACTGGCATTGCTTACAACCATTGCTTCTATCATCTTCATATATTTCGCTAATATTGCACCGGCCATTACTTTTGGTCAGGTACTAAGTGAGAAAACTGGCCAGTATATGGTATGTACATGTGTGTGATTAATCATTACTGCTTTGTATGTGTAGGGTGCTGTTGAGATGATAATTTCTGTTGCCATTGGGAATTTTGTTTATTCACTAACGGCTGGTCAACCGTTAGTAATCCTTGGTGGCACTGGCCCAACACTGATCTTTGAAGACATTCTCTTTCAGTTTTGCAGCAGTCGTAATATACCATATCTTGAGTTCCGTTTCTGGATTGGCCTGTGGACTGCTCTGTTTCTTATGATCTTAGTAGCACTGAATGCTAGCGTCATTATGCGAATCTTCACCCGTTTTACTGAAGAAATATTCTCAGCTCTCATTTCGTTCATATTTATATATGAGGCTTTTGAGAAGATCTGGAAGATTCACTTAACAAATCCTTACAATGGCTACTTCTGGTATCCTTTCTGGGGAAGGACCTGTGACTGTTATGAGTATGCCAATTCGACTGAAGTTGGAATGGATCCTCCTACAAATGCCACTTACATAGGCTCATACTGGAGTATTAACGAAACTTTACAGAACACCTGCAATGAAGACTACCTTCGAGCCTGGGTGGGAGCTGATTGTGATTTGAGGAATGATGTTTTGTTTTTCTCTATCATATTATTTATTGGGACTTTTGCTGTAGCCTTTTATTTCAAACGTTTTAAGGAAACGCCATTTTTTCCCACTTGGGTGAGTTTTTCTATTTATACATGTACATGCATTGATAATCACTATTTTTAATATTATCCATAGGTTCGTAAGATCATTAGTGATTTTGGTGTCCTGTTGTCCGTCATTATTTGGGTACTTGTCAATTATTTTGCACACGTAGAGAATGTACCAACACTAGAAGTCCCTGACATACTAAGTGGTAGCAGTTTATACGATGAAACGACAGTGAGGAAATCTTTCCTTGTCCATCCTTTTGGTAATGGTCTGCCTGGTTGGGCACCAATCGCTGCTGTTCTCCCTGCTCTCCTGGCGACCATTCTATTGTTCATGGATCAACAGATCACAGCACTGATTGTTAACAGGAAGGATAACAAACTATTGGTGAGTCTGCATCACAATGTAGCTCTCTTGTATTTAATGGCACTCCATTGAATTTAACAATGTTAGACATTGCTGCCAATACTTGGCACTTATTGATGCATCTGGGTAGCAGTAGGTATGTTTTTCACTTCTTAGCACTCTTCCTTTATAGTAAACATGCTTTTCTACTTGAAAGACTTTTGCACTATAACACCATCAGGTTAAAATTAATGTGAAGCACAGAGTATGGGCACTTGTCTTACAATGTACATGTACATGCTGCCTGTAATAAAAATATATTCACCTTTCAATGCAAGGATGTGGCGAAAGCTATTACTCTCATTGCCATTATGTACATACATGTATACTGTATCTAAGAGCGATTTGATCATTCCCAGTTGTGTATTCAACATGGAAATAACTTTTGACTTGTGTTTTTAATACGATTCACAAACTTTGTCCCCCCCTAGCATGTACATGTACATGACATGTACAGTGTATAATACATATACATGAACGTGTACATGTATGTAGCGTCATTTTCCAGCATGTACAATACAATATACAGTGCATGCATGGACATTATATAATGGATCAAACTTGTTTGTACATGTGCTAACTAATTTATGCTTGTTACATAATATGTTTGCTGATTATAAAGAAGTTAAAATTATTCATATTTTGTCAATTTTTATAACGTGTAATGTACATGTACTGCTATGTACATGTATTGTGTACATGTATGTGTCATTTTCCGTCATGTTATTATAGCAAAAATTTTCTTAGCATTTACATTGTGTTTATGTTATTTTTAAATCTATTATTGTTAATACAGTGTATATAATTTTTGTTATTTTTGGGCTCACCATAACTTCATATAATTTAAACCTCATCTAGACTGTATACATGTCTGTCACACCCACAACAAATGTACGTGTATACACAAATTTAAATTTTTTGCGTGCATGTAACTGTACATGGTATTTGTGAGTTATGTGTATAATAAAATTTTTTTGTTGTTACTATAGAAAGGATCTGGTTATCATCTCGATATGTTTATTGTTGCCTGTCTTATTGGATGCTTCTCTTGTTTTGGTCTTCCTTGGGTTGTTGGTGCTACTGTCCGTTCCATTGCTCATGTACAGAGTTTATTCCTTTATTCTCCAAGTGCTGCTCCAGGAGAGAGACCAAAGTTCCTTGGTGTTAAAGAGCAACGCGTGACATTATTGTCAATGTCAGTGTTACTAGGTCTTTCTATTCTCATGTATCAAGTTCTTAAAGTAAGTGGATGCAATTTTTTGCTGTTCTTTATAAGCGTCATTTCTATCTACTAGTTGATTCCTCTTGCTGTTCTCTATGGCTTGTTTCTATATATTGGAGTTACTTCCTTATTTGGTGTGCAAGTAAGTAAACATGCAGCTCTTGATGTCAGCACTCTCTTATTTTTTTTCTTTTTTTTAGTTTGTTCAACGTATTCTTGTAATATTTATGCCTGATAAGTATAAACCAGATGAAGAATATGTCCGTCATATACCAAACCGTCGTCTTCATTCTTATACTTTAGTTCAAATACTCATGTTGCTTGTATTGTGTATGTTTAAGGTCATTACACAGATCAGCATTATCTTCCCGATTATGGTGAGTCTCTCATTATTAATAAAGTATTTGCATGTACATGTACATGTTGCTTGTGTGGATACTGTGTGATAAATTGTAGAGTTGCACCGATACAGTAATTTGCCGATATTTCGATTAACAGATTATACTGTACAAAAACTGCCGATACAGATGTAAATACCGATTAAAAAGAAATATTTATTTTTAATAAATCATTATGCAAATGCATGTATTTTGCAGAGAACTAAACTTAGCCAGTTACAAATTGCGGACTAAAAGTGAATTACTGCCATATTGACAAACTTTTTTGACATTTTTGGATCATGTGGCTGGTACAAGTGTAGTTAATAACTTTTATTAATAAGTTATTAATAGTTATAATAATCTGCAATGAAAATAACCGATTCAGATTCGATAAAAAATGGCATATATCTGCAGATTCCGATTATTTTATCGGTAATCGGTACAACTCTAATAAATTGTATGAAGGTGCGTTCTCAATATGTTGTGTTGCTTTTTTTGCTTTTGCTATGCAAGCTCTGTTCTCAGGCATTAAGTATTGCTAGTAAGATCATAACTGTGAAACACTGTTTGCGTACATGTACATGTATGACATGTACTCCTTTTTAGAACATACATTACATGTACATGTATGTATAAATTTAGTCAACGTTCTGTTTGGTATTTTTTATGAAAGGATACTGAATACTGATTACTTTTGCCACCTAAACCTCATGTTAATAATAAACTTTATTTATCACACATTGTTGTTACTTTCATTTTAACATACGCTTTATTATTTTAGGTCCTTCTGTTGGTTATCGGTCGTTGGCTAGTAGGTTGGTGTTTTCCGAAAAGAGATCTCTTGATATTGGACGATCCTATTCCAGACAAACTTTATTGCCAGCGTAAAAGCACCTGCTGTGAAGAAGGAAAAGAAGACCCGGAGAAAGGAATCGATGAGACTGATGGACGGGTAGCGTCTGCTGATACCGGTATCAATATCACACGCGAAGTTGACAGGTGTGATTTGTGGCACATGGTTCATAAGCTTGACAAAGAACCTATAAGAGTTGCTAATAGTCTTGCTTTGCAGCATAATGGTGGAGTCCCTCATAACGTCGAGGTTGAAATGGAGGTACAAGATGAGTCTGCTACTCCAACGCTATCCAGCTTCAAAAGTACTGAAATATAACAAGAATCTGTCTTGTGCAAATTAAAATTTATAATCAAATGTTGCTGTAGTATTTATTAAAAATATTATTTAACCAAAAATTAATATAAAAAGGGGGCACACACTGTTTTGTCTTTATATAATCTATATCACAAGGAATTGTTGCTGTTTATTTTATATGTTATCTGATGAATGGCCACTAAATGAATGAGCTCTTCGATGTCCACTTTTTTTAGAGAGTGAGATTTTGGTGTCATCCAGCCTGCTAAGAAAATCCTTTATTGCTGGGGAATAGTCTCCAGTCTCTGTTATAAGTATTTCAGGGGATAGGGAGGATAAGCTTCCAACTTTAGAAGTTGTTGCTGATGAATTCACTGTTGATGGCCTTCTACCTTTTGGTATAGACAAAGGCTTTGAAGAGGGAAGAGAAGAAATAACACTGTCTACTGCTTCATGTTGTATATCATTAGTTCTGTGCTGTAACTCATTTGACAACCTGAAAGAATAAACGTTAAATTATTATTTAAAGTGATTATATAATCTACATTTCAAGCTCTTCTTTTTTGGCAGCTAAAATGTCACAGAGTTCTGATGCAATAGCTAACTTCTTTTCATACATTTCTCGTACTTCTCTTGCATGTCTAATAAATAATAAGAAAACATGGAGAAAATAATAATTGCTATTTTTTACCTTAGCTCTTCATCTCTCATCATTGCAATACGATTCACTTCATCATGAGAATTAGAATGGAATTGGAGATTTTTTGTAAGTCCATCCAAACAAAGAGATATTTCAGTTTTCCAGCTATCTTGCATTTGAATATATTCAGCATAGTCAAACTTTAGGAACTCTCCAAGTGCTATTACATTCAACTCTTCAATTATTTGACTAAAAGATGGTCTTGATTTAGGCTTCTGTTGCCTAAAAGGTATAATTATGGGCCACGTAAAGTAATTTTATTACCAGCATTTTTGGAGCAGTGATTTAAGATCAGAAGGGCAACCAGTAGGTATGGGCAGACTCAGTGTAGTGGATCCAACACCATAAATAACAGCTCCATGATTTAAATCCTATAACTGTGGAGTCAATAAGCTTAAGGTATAATTATGTTACTTTATATGGTTCTTCACGGGTTAGTAATTCCCAAAGACACACACCAAAAGACCAAATGTCTACCTTTTCACTGCATGGCTCACTCCTTATTAGCTCAGGGGCCATCCATGCTACACTTCCAATTACAGTCATTTTAGTAAACTGATGATCAAGAGTGCGGCTAACACCAAAATCCGTTATTTTCATAGAATGATTGTCACTCACTAACACACTAATATGGTTCTAGTTAACATACAACTATACTGCTCACTTACTTTAGTGACTTTAAGTCTCTGTGTATTAGCTTTTTGGAGTGTAAAAATTGCATACCAGTACATATTTCACGAGACCATTGGATCACATCAAATGGCATTATTTTTGTCGAAGTCTTTCTGATATAATCAAATAAATTACCCAATCTGCAGTATTCCATCACAATACAGTAGCAAGGTGGTTTGTTACATACACCACTGTAAAGTTACACACATAAAGTGATCTCTAATATCAATTTGAGACTTACAGACACTTGACAATGTTTGGATGGGATAATTTGCGTAATATCTTTAATTCTGTTTGCTTAGGATCATTAACTTTTTTAACAGCTACTTCATTATCACGGTACTTTCCACTGAAAACTGCACCTGTAATGGTTATTGATGATTACCGATCATGACATGGCAAATGTTTACTGTAAAATTAGAATTGTAAGCAAACATAATGACACATCATAAAAATGTAAGGCTTTCCCCTGTGTACACAAATATAGAAATAATTGAGTTAAATTTAGGAACACAGTTGCTCTACCATCTGTTTACTGTATTGAGTAAAATTCTTTTGCAACTCAGTGGTCTACATTGCTTTACAAAATTTTGATTATAATTAAACTAGTGCTGCAACAATAAATCAATATTGCAATTATTGTAGTACTATTATATCTAATAAGATATCTTTGCAATATCAACATTTTAGATATAAAAATATCGATAATTGACATAAAAAGAAAATACCACATGCTCAAAATTGAAAAAGAAAAGGTACATTTTCGCAGAACACTCCAGCAATGGATATATCCTGAGTGGGGTGTTACAAACAAATTTATGTTCTATCTAAAGCCAAAGTGCCAAACATCACATACTGCACATGCACAAGTCTTACTACATGCCAACTCAAGATACTGAGAGAACTTAGAGAAGAACAAAGTACAGTAGAGATGGGTAGCAATAAAACAAACCTTGAGAGATGGCTAACAAGGACAACAAACCTGCTCAAGCTAGTTTCTTGCCAGATGAAGGACACCAGCTTGCATATTTTTTCAGTATGAAAAATAGCTTTTTCACAGAATGCAAAAAGTTTCTTTTAAATTTATGCAAAGTGAACTTTTAGTGGCTCAGCAAAAATATTGCTTTTGTGATGTAACACACATCAGGTTGATGTTTTGATTTAATTATCCACCAAAACATCTTTTCTCACATTCACAAACTTTTTTCATTTACAGACTTTACCCATTCACACACAGTCACATTATGATGGAATATAATATGCAGTATCGATATGACTAATGCAAACCAAGGATAGCAAACTATTGTTGCTTAAATACAAAATTAGTTCTAGTTATGAAATTTAATTTCTAGTTCTAAAGTAAAAAGATTTTTAGATCTAGTTCTGTATGTTCTACTTCTACTCAGTACTGAGTTCTTAAAATTAAAAATTAAATACTAGTAGCTTGATCTGGTGCCAAATTAAACAATACTAGCTAATGTGAAGATGCATGCATTGATACCTTGGCCTCCTTTCCCAATGTATGAAAGCTCTCTTATATCTTCAAATGGTATCTCCCAACTATAGGCTTGTCCTGCTTGATCTTTCTTGAAATATCCCAGAGGATTCAGATAATTTACCAGGTTTTGAACAACACCTAATGTTTTTTTCTTGTACTCAGTAGTAGAGCTTCGTCCTGCTGTTAATGATAAGCCGTCTAGAAGGTCTCTGATGCGACTTTCCTGCTCAGATAATTCCATTCCCATTCCTGCAGAAGAAGCAGAAGGATCCGCATTTACTTTAGCTGTCGCTTGAAGCTCATCTGTGTCTGACAAAGGTGGATCTCGAGGTGGATCTTCTTCAATATCTTCCATTTCTGCAAAGTAAGAGCAAGAAAACAAAGTTTTTCCTTGACTCAGTTTTTACAGAGGCACGCCTATAAATAAATTTACATGTATGCCGCCACACCCATAAGGCGACACACCCATTTTGTCTTTTAAATTAAAATGTCTACTTACTTGGAAGGAACTTTAAATAAGTGGACTAACTATTATTCAGGTGAGGCACTGATAATTTCAACATGATTAATAGGAACTTTATGTATAATAGGTTGGCAACCCAGGTGGTTTATACTAGATGGTGGTGTCCTTTCATACTACCTCTCATCTATGGATGTACAGCAAGGTAGCAAAGGATCAGTTAAAATATCCTCTTGTGATATTATAGGTTAGCATAATAGTGGGTAGTCTTTGTATAATTTTATCATTGTCTAATTTGTAGCTCATCATAAAGACAATAGGAGGATTGATCTTGTTATTAAGAATGGCATGCACATGTACTTGAAAGCTAGTTCAAAAATTGAGCGACAAAAGTGGTTAGTGGCATTTGGCTCAACCAAGCAAGAAGATTTGTCACTGGAAAGATGTTAGTTATTCCTTTTTAGAAGCATCTTAATTAATGCTCTACACGTAATTATACTATTTCCTTTGTGAAAGTATGGACTATTATAACTGGATCAATGGTTATATTGTATGTTATCTAGTCTAAACAATGATGTGTCCATTTCAATGAGAAAGACAAGTAGCTTTAAGATAATGATTATCGATATAGGCATTAATAATGGTTTTGTATTCATGTTTATCAAAATAGTTTAATTCTCACTATTAATTGGTAGTGATTTTATTTTTTCTGTGCATTTTTATTTCATAGCTTCATTGAAGCATGGAGACATCATTAAGTCACGGATGGTAGATCTACATGTGTCCTGTCAGACTCTTGTGACTCACATTGCTTCTCTAAAGACTTGTTTAAGGGAAGCCAATTCTTTCTCTGATAAAGTAATCTTTTACTTTTTTGGGGTTTTCTTAAATCTGCAATTTTTTTAGAAACTTGATGAAGTAAGTGATGCGTTATCTACTACATGTGATGAATTCCTGAATGCATTGGCAGAGTGTATGGATCTCAGTTATAGTGAAGGTAATAAGTAAAGTTGGTGATAGTTTTTAATGATTCTTTTTATCTAGAACAATGGCCGGAGCACATAAAGGTATGTATAATAGTCAGGGTTTCTCACAAAGCATGATAGATTATCTAAAACAAAAAGGCAATTTATGCTTTATGAGCTGACAAGCACTATTGAATAATGCATGCACATGGCTTTGGGGCAACTTAAAAATTTATAAAAAATCAATTTTGAGTAAAACCAGCTCAAACTTGCTAACATAGGAATATATATATGTAAAAAAATATAAAATGAAGAATTCTCTCCTAATCATTTTGGTGAAATTTGACCAATTACCCTGTACTATAGTACGGGGTCTTTGGCCCAATTTTTGATTAACTTCAAAAATTTAATTTTAATTAATTCGGTCCAAATTTTTATGTATCAGAAAATGTAATGAAAATCGAGAAATCTCTCCTAGGGACAGAATATCCTATACTATAGACTATATTATATGTCATATACAAGCTGTTTTTTTATTTTGGAGCAAATTATTTAGGAATCAAATTTTGATTTTAATCAGCTAAAACTTTTTATTCAAAACATGCACACGTACATGTACATGTATCTAATAGAAAATTTAATGAATTTTTCTTGTTTATACATGTATTTATCAGAGATCTGGGTTCCCCTAAGCTAAATAAACAGCATACCTAAGAAGCCAAACACTGTTCTAAAAGCCTGTGGGAAACCCTGTTGATAATGTTTTTTTTGTGAAATTTTTGAACTCCAAATTTCTTTAGCCTCTTTCTTCAAAGCAGTTAGCCACGCCATCTCCAACGTAAGTACACTTGACTTTGTAATTGTGTTCTCATCTTTTGTGTATTTTAGTTTGTCAAGAAGTGTAAAGTTTGGCAGAACAGGTTATTATTGTTTTAGTACTTACATGTAATTATTGTCTTATTCTCAATGTATAAGGCTCGCCTGTAGTCCATACTTCATCAAATAGTTTTAGTGCTGATGAGCTCTACCTGTCATCATCAACTCCTCCTCCTCGTCCCCCTCATCCTGTTTCTCCCCTCCGTAATACTCAGGATACTTCTTCACTTCCTTTTCACCTTCAAAAACCACAAAAGCAAATTGTTGCTCAGTCCTCAGCATCATTGAGAGATGCTTCTAGATCAAGTTCAGAGTTATTTCTTACTCCTACATCTTCCCCAGTCCCGTCTCCTCCATCTTCGCCATTACCTGAAGTAGCAACAATAGACTATGATACTTTCTTCTCTAAATTACCACACAAGTGAGTCCAATTATCAAAAGTTTTTATTTGTGCACTTTGCTCCAGATTTGTGGATATAAGCCTTGATGAAGATGAAGGGATTCCTACTGATAGTTTTCTTCAGTGTTGCAGCGATCTCCTTCCCTTTTTTGATGCGTTAAGTCCTACTGCATTTGCTCCAGTCAAAGCAGACATCTCTGGCAACATCGAAGTATTATTTTATGTAAATATGCATTTGAAGTTTTATTGTTAATAAATAGAAAATTCGACGTAAGTACAATGAAAACCCGACCTTGTACCACACTTTACAAGGTATTGTCGGGCATGAAGTTAATACTCAAACACACACTGTTAAAAATTCTTCAACTGATGCACTTTTGTGGTTGAAAAGGTAGCACAATAAGCATTGCGATTTTATCTTCCCTCTTTTAAATAGAGCTATTGAGTTTGTACAGGTATTTATTTTTGAAGTAGCCAATGGTGAAGAAAATCTTGGAGCAGCTGCTAGTAAGAATATGATTATTATTTGTTTTAGTATTAGTATGTGTGCTGTATTAATTATTAGGTGTTGCATATACTAAGTCTTTAAAACAGCATCACAACTGGTTGGTTAGAGGAATATTCAATGTAAGTTACACCATGGTTCAATCTTGGCATACTGTTAATTAAAAATGAAAAGCCCACTTTTTACATGTAAAAACGACTTCAAAATTGTCAACTGTTTACTGAAATTAAACAGTTCATTATTTTTTTCAGCTTGCAGTTAAAGCCGTTCCTTATTATGCTGACTTTTTGAAATTACTGGGATCTGACGGTACCGCTGAACACAATCAAGCTGTGCTTAAAGACATGTCCATGTTTTCAAAGTCTGTTGAAAAATTGACCACAATATTAAAACAATTATATGAATTATATGAATTGGATACTCCACCTAAAGAATTGTATTGAACATTACATGTACATTGTATCATTACCAGCACTACATAAGAATCAAAGCACAGCTATTTGAAATTGTTGTTTATAATTTACTATTTAAAGTTTATATTAATTTGAGTCCTCTTCTTTTTGTGAAGCGGCTAAGGGTTTATCTTCTTTTGATGTTGTGACGGAGTCTTCTTTTTTCTCTTCTTTTCGTGCTGTGGAATCCTCCACTGCAGCAGGAGTAGCATCCTTTTCTTCTTTCACTTCTGTTGGCTCTTTTTTGACAGTTGGCGTACTATTAGTAGACTCCTCTTTTGGCAATGTGACGCTGACAGAAGGTTGTTCATCTTTTGTGGGTGCAGTAATGGGAGGATTAGCTTTCTGTGATTTGTCCTGTGTAGGGGATTCCTCTACAGACTTCCTATCTCGTTCTTTACTTCCGTATCTCTTGTATCTCTTAATCCAAGTGCTTTTTCTTGATATTGGTTTGCCGACTTTGCTTGACATGAGAGCCTGAGAGGGTGGTTGCTTAGAGTCTGTATCAGTATTGCTAGGATTGGTATTGTTGGTATTGCTAGGATTCGTATTATTGGTACTGGTAGGGTTGGTATTATTGGTACTGGTAGGGTTAGTGTTATTGGCACTAGTAGCATTACTACTGGTGGCATTGCTGTTACTGGAAACGCTATTAGAAGAACTGCTGCTGTTCTTAATACTCTTCTCTCTCTTTTCTCTTTCCTTCTGACGCCTTTTTCTATCCCGTCTTTGCTGTGTTGGGGTTTTCTTTTTCCCGTCATTAGCAGTGCTTGCATTGCTTGTGGTATGTTGTAGTGGCGTTGGTCCTGGTGGATGAACAACTGGGGGAGGTGGAGGAGGAGCAAGGTTTGGCCTCACAGCTGTTAAAAAACAAATTTATAAATTACAAATAAATTATAACAAACCTTTTCCAGTAAGAGGATCATATAAACACTACAATACAAAGAAGAACATCATAAGACAAGTTACAGCAATTAATGTATAATCAAAATTAAATCATAACAAATAAAGTAATAATCTTAACATACCACTCCTTGTCGATATAACGAGTTTCGTACCCTCTCCTGAAAGACTGCTAGAAATTCTGGAGAATACTTGTACGGGTAATTGCATCCAGTTTGAGAAGGGGCACTAGTTATAGCCAGGGGGTGATGCTGTAGTCGAGGTAGCTGAACTGGAGGTGGCACGTTCTGGTTAGGGAACCCACCGCAAAATAATCCGTTAGTATTGATAATAGGCCGAGGCATTGTAAATGGTAGCCCGAACTCCGGTCTCAGAAAATGAGGGAACGGCAAAGGAGGGAGAGGGGGAGGTAAGCAGTATCGCTGCATGAATGGGATACCGGCAATGAAGTTGTTTTCATTGTGAAACTGCTTTGGCATCACCAGTGGTGGCAAGCAAACTTTGATTGAAGACTTCTCAATGGCTGCTTGAGGATTCTCATTCCATGATGAATATGTTTCTTGCACACTTACCACTAAAAAGAGAAAATCAGTACTATACTATTAATAATTATCATAAACTTACTCTTTCCAAATTTCATAACAGATGGCAATAAATCGTCTGGGTCTCCATAAAACCTGTTCAGGTTTCCGACCGCTTCATCAACTTTCCTGTCACTAGTGAAGTACTGCATAGAAACAGACAGACCATCATCACATATACCACATACATGTAATAGTACGCACTTTCAATTGTTTCTTGAGTTCAGCAATTTGAACCTCCTCAAGTTGATTGGCGGACTCAGTTAATCTTCTCAATGTAATGGCTGTTGCTTTTCTACGCTGAAGAAGGAGATGGGCTGTTTGCTGGACATTTCTTAGCTCACAACGAAGATCTTCTTCTCTCGTATTGATACCAATTCTTAGCGTATTAAAAGTACGCTCCAGATTTTTTGCAGCTAATTTACATTGCTATCATAATAATAATAAAAAAATTATAAGTACATGTAGAAGATTGTAACAATAATGTTGTTACTCACATCCTCCAGATTCTGCTGATATCTATTAAGTGCAATGTCACAGCGATGAAGATCTTTTATAAGTTTTCTTAGTGAAGGCTCTGAAGAATACCTCTCCTGTGTTACTCTCTCCTTTGGTGGCACTGGTTGTGGTACATCTAGAGAAAAAAAATTAATACTATACATTATACAACCAGAAGTGAAAGTATTTTTGAAAAGGCACTATATTAATCTTGCCTATTTTTTATAGCAGTTACATGTATCATAATAACAATAATAACAATAGATTAATACCAGGAGAAGCATCTTTTGACACAGGCGAGGGTGTGGGGCTAGTTGAAGCAGTCATTATGCCACTCTCTGGTGAGAGTGGTACTGGCTCATCACTCGAAAGCATTACTGTAGCTGACATTGGTGATTCTTCCCCTGAATTAGCTGCAGCAGCTGCTGCCATTATTTTGAGCTTCTCTCGTATCCTTTTAGGAGGTCTGGGTTTCTTTACAGCACGTCTTTTTGACTTGCTTTTTGTTTGACCACTCGTTTTATTGTCCTCAGGAGGGATTGGCGGTCTTGAAGGAGACGGTGATTTTGCTGGAGCTGCCTCGGATGACTCAGGAGGTGTAGATTCAGATTCCTGTGTAGCAGCTGTGTGTTTCTCTTCCACAAATCCCAAGTCTACACAAGACACACTGTCAGACGGTGTTGAGGCATTCGATGCAGCTTTGTTTGTATTATTTTCAGAAGTTGACTTCTTGTTTTTCTAAAAAACACTAATCATCATCCTGATTTTTATGTTTCTCACTTTATTTTTCTTAGCCATGACTTCCCACTCTTTAAGACAATCTTGTCCCTTATCTAAAAACAGGATTAACACTCAGTCTATTATTTATTTATTATGGTAATGTTATACCTGGACCAATTAGTTTAGCAATAGCAGTGTCAACAGCATTATCACACTGTTCACATGACTGTAGCACAAGAGCAATATCCGACTTACTACGATTACGGACCACTTTCTTGACTTGAACAATCTGCAATACATAAAAATAAATTTTAAATGGGACAAGCTTCATGCAATTACTAGGATTACTGTTAAATAACATAGGATTTGCACTTTGACATTGCTAATATTATAGTGACAACATGTATACATGCATACAAATCTAATCAAACATGATACTTCACTAATATTCAAATGGTACTATTATTAATCATTTCGCTGCATCTTCTTTATTAAAAACAAATTCATAATATAAAAGTAGTGTGGGCTGGTTGGAATAATTATATTTTACATTATACCAACATAGCTAATGCATCCCCCATCTTTGGGACTGAACACATAAACACTATACACTTTACTAGCATATGACATACACATCGGACCAAAGAGTCATTCACACTATAAGCAGTTAGATTGCATAAGGCATTGCAAAATTTGCAGCAATTTATATGACAGCTGTGTATGGATCAGTAAACCTCCATTGTTGAAGCCATTATTGTACTGTACTCATACTCATTATTGTACTGTACTACAGTTATCAATAGGCTGAACTGGCTTTATATTCATTGTGCTCAATACCAATAATATAATAATGAGATAGCTTTCAGACTATTAGCTGCATATATATTTGTGTTAATCGTCTACTGTATAGACTAATTTGTGACACAAAAGATTAATTATCCTCACATGCAAATAGCATTTTACCATGAAAAGACACTTATCTAAATGACACCATGAGCTCATGCCATTTGTTTAGATAGTGCTTGACAATAGCCTTTGTGGCAAAAAGTTTCATTCAAGTTCTATTTAGGAATACCATCTCTTTGTTCTCATCTACCATCAACCATTATTATTCACTTAAATAAAATCTAGCCTAGAAAATTCGAGCATTTGTAAAGAAACTATACCAACAAGCACAGCATTTATAAACTGCTTGAAAACACTTGCTTTAACTGCTTAACTCTATATACTCTCCTCTTGTATTACGTTACAGTCACGCAGGCCCATACTTAACACTAGGCAATAGTCCTGTGCTCAGCCCACCTACCTTATGTAAGGGACAAATTGGATTGTGTGGATTGTGGCATTAAACATTGTGGGGTATGCACCCTGAGCACAACAAAACAACAAGAGGTGTGGTAGTAAGCACTGAACAATAATTATTTCTATAATTGATCTTAATTTTCTTGCCTTATCTCTCAGATCATCATCATTTCTTTTGCAGGTAGATGGATTCTTTCCTGTAAACAAACAAAAAAAGTTTGTCAGGCAAAACCTTCATAACTTACTTTTCCCTTTACTCATGGCACAGTGCACACAAATTTCAAACTTATTTTCAGACAAGCCTTCGAAGGAAGAATCTCTTCTGTCTCTAAAGCGAGCTCAAAAGCCAGCTCTTTCATAGCTGCGTTTTGCGTCCGTATTGCGCCGCCTGGTCGGCCAGAAAGAGGTAGATCTACTCCATCCATTATGATAATTGCAGTGAGCTGTCTCTTTGATGTGCTTAGCCAATATTTTTTATGATTACCCGTCAAAATTTGAATGTGGTAGCTCTAATTTCCTAACATAAACAATAATGGAGCCTCTTTACCAGGAATCAATGAAGTCAGTTTTACACCCATGACACCTAGTAATATCTCAATGGCAGATTATTCCAAGAAACTCAGAGACAGCTACAAGAACTCTCATCTTTTAGTACTGGTAACCACCAAGGTGAGACTCTTTTGTAGTTTTAAACAATGAGTATGTATATACATACATTATTGTGTTTATTGTAGTTATAGAGGCAAGAATTAGTGATAGTCTAATGCAGTTAGAAAGTGACTGTCAGCAATTAACACACCTTGTCAATAAGGAGCCTCTTCACACAAGGCAACAACAAAAAATGTGAGCATAATTTTTACTAATTAGTATATATAATAAATTAATCTGTATGTTTACGAAACCAAATAAGAATATTAGTGTGTACATGCCACAAATGGTTTCCTATTTTTAGATTAAGGTGTTTCCTTGGCATGTTCTAGACTAGATAATTATAGCCGTGGGTAGCGGCACCACACCCACTGCAGCTGTGGTGACTGGTTGACTGTATACCAGACTAATTGGTTTGTTATTGAATGTGCTTTGCTGTTGTTGTTTTTGCTGCATTGTTATTTGATTAATACTTTGGCAGTCAGCAAGCTAATGGTGGTCCACGTAAGTAGGAAAGGGGAATTTCTGATAGCAAAGATGGACAAGTTCATGTATTTTGTACATGTACATGTAGCATTGAATTTTTGTGTGACACGATAGGTTGTAAATAAAGCTTTTTGGGGTAGGACTTCTATATTGGTAGTAGTTATTTAATTAAGGAATGCCTTAATAGCCTTATAGTGTTACCTAATGTATAACACTAACAGCTGTTCATTACATGTTATTCTATTGAAGTGTTTACTTGAAGGTTTGATTCTGCCCTTTCATTGGTATATTAAACTGGTACATTTAGCTGTCCGACTGCCAGCATACTAAATGATATAATAGGCATAGTCACTTTTATTTCTAGAGGCAGAGGGAGTTTATGAGACTCAGATTTGGTCTATGCCTCTTGAAATCTCCCTATTTTTAGCTTTTCATCTCTCAATCTAGCCTAGGTATCTTAAGCCTCCTATTATTAGTTACATGTAGATTGGTCTCGCAAGGTTTATTCTTAGATCTAACAATCGATACGGTAGTTTGCACTCCATAATCATCATTAATTGTCAAGGATTAATTTCTGTGGGAAAGAATTTGCTACATGACTTGCTTTCAATGTTTATAGGTGTGCCTGCTCGAATTTCATAGAAACCTTCAAAATTTCAGCCACAAGATAATGCTCTTAAGCTTAATCCCTTTAACTCTCCTTTGTAATTTGATTATTATCTTTGTCTGATTGTACCAATACATTAAAAGGTTTTCTTTAGGTAATACTAAAAAGGTTTCTTAAACTACATGTACATGTAATAGTGAAAAGTTTTTGCTTTTTGTCACTTTATGATATTCATAATTATTAATGTCTTATCTTGCAAAAAGTCCATCAATTAGTTAGCTTATACATGTACTTTGGAATTGTTATTTTCATAATTGCTGTTTAGAAATAATAATTTGTGATGATTAGTGGTTGTTATTTATGACATAGGTGTATAATTGTTAGTCAATGTTGACAAAATGTGCAACTAATTTGATTCTTGCTTTATAGAATGTCATTACACTGGAATTTCCTGTTGCAAATGTTATGAAACATTCTTTGCAGCAATGCTGTATCTTATAGGTAACTTTATACTTTATATTGGCAATGAAATCGTTTCTAGATGAGATATCCATTACCTGTGTCACTATAAATGACTAAGTGAATTCTTTGCGTAGCTCAGTACCTGTTTGGTTTAATTTCATAATATTTCTGGGAATAAGTAGGGCGGGTATTTTTTCTGTACCAGATCATCTTCACATGGCGTTCCTTAAATTAAGAAATGTCTTATTAGTTTAAAATATTTTGGTATAATGTTACCTAGGTTAGTTAGGTGTGTGCTGTTCTTTTATTAGGTTGTTAATTGCTCTTATGTTACAAATTTGTACTATTTTACTTAAATTCTGTCGATAATCAAGCTGTTCTGGTTATTTGTAATAAAATATTGTCAGCTATTAATAAATATCTTTTCTTTCTCTTTTTCAATTTTTCTCTTTGTCTAACATTTGCTCTGTCTTTTTCTCTAGAGCTTCTCTCTCTCTTTCTCTCCCCCTGACTTGCTCTCCCCCTTATCTTCCTGTCTCTCCCTTTCTCCCACTCTCTCCCTCTGTCACTCCCTGTTTAGCTGTCTCTTTTTGTCTTGCCTCTTTCTCTATCTCTGCCACACTTCTTCCTTGATCTTTCCCTCTCTCTTCCTTTTTCTCCCTGTGCCGTAAGTCATTAGTTCATAAGGTCAGCCTCAGGACAGTGTCCCTGTATGGGGGCAGCACATGAAGCCATTCCATTTAACAAAAACAGTGGCTTCTAATGCATGTAATTTGCATTTTATGAAAACATTGAAATGTCTTTGCCACAAACATATTGAGCTATTTTGTTTTATATGGGGAACTTTGTGTGCCAAAAAATTACACCATACATGTATCTCAGGATGTCTTGTCACCGATAACATGCCTTGCTGGAGAGCTAATGCTATGGTAACTTATTATTTCTCCCCTAACTACTGTTACATGTATTTCCTTAAAATTAATTAAAGAAGAATTTGCCACCCCTTCATAATTTTAGTGGGAGAGTTTAGCTAACGAGTAGGACATGGGAATGGTTTATGTGAATAAAACAGGCACTCATGTACCATGAAAATGCACCGTGACCACCTGTATGTGGGCTGGATGTCACACTTACATGTGTATTATGGTATAGGCATTGTTAATCAGATCAATGGTGACCTTTATGTAGTCAAAGACTAACATGTGACAGCATGTATCACCTGGTGGTGCAAAGAATTTCCATACCTTTTGAAATGGTATCTTGACACATGAAGTTAGATGTAGGATACAACCCTATATGCACTGGTAGTCCTTTTGGTAGATTGTAGTTTTGGAGAAGATTGGGCAAACATTTTATCCTAGTTTAGATTTTATTGGTGCTGTATCTTCCTGGCAGCTCTGAATAGGCTCTTACTATAAATGTCGTGTCTATCTCTTTTGTTAATGATTATTTTGTGCGAATGGAATGCATAATATTTTAGAGTTCGGGTTTGTGGGTAGAAGTCATGTGTAGGGCAATTAGTGGGTGTCTTGGCTAAATATTATGGTTTGAATAGCTGATATCAATAGTATATAGTATCATGTTGATCGTATCATTTTCATGTATCAATAATTGTTTTGAATTGCTTCTAGGCGTGTGGAGCAACTGAAAGCTGATCTAACAGGACTACAGAAGGCTTTTAATATCCACCAACGTCAAAGACAGGAAGCTGTAATGCTATTTTTAGACTGTGTTTCTATTAATAGAATATATTTACATGTACACAGGAAGATGCAGTGCGGGCTAGGGAAGAGCTCCTGTCCAGAAGTAATGTACATGTTCCTCATCATCAGGTATGAAGCCCTTAAATGGTAGAGGGAATGCTGAATGACTTAATGTATACACACACAACATGTAGGCATGTAGCATATGTTGTTATGGTTAGATAGGTCAATTATAAACAAAGTTTCAGCATTCCTATCAATAATGTAATGATATTGTAACTATATGCCATGAACACTTGTTTATTTAGTTATCTTAAAATATCAATTAAAGTCTTTCACCGACTATTAAAAAATTATTACTTCATCGTATAAACTTTGGGGGAAACATTTGTGGGGTCTGTTAAATTTGTGCATGCATCATACTTGAGAAAGTTTGTGATTCATGAAATTAGAAGGCATGTAAAGAATCTCAATCAGAATTAGTATTTGTTATTCTATGTGCATTAAAAGCAGGTGGTCTTTATTATTATTTACTTACTTTGATTATATGGTCATTATGGTTTAGCTTTGTATTTTAAATTGGCATAATGGCAGAGAATGAGAGAAGGAAGGAGTGATGAGTTGTTTGGCAGTGTGTAGCTTAGGAGATGTCTGAACACCTGGTACTGTTTTAGTTGACCCAATTACTAAAGTATGAAGTATTTATAAGTAGTCCTGTGTATGGATATTCACTTGCAGTCTCAATATTTGTATTTGTACTTAATTGTGTAGAATCGTGACACAGCAATACCACTCGATCCCACGCTTGAGCATCATACCCGCCTCCACGACGCAAACAGAGGTCTCGATGAACTACTCTCAAATGCATCTAGCGTACTCGGTGGATTAAAGAATCAGCATGGTATTTTGAAGGTGCACAAAATATCATTTTCTGTTTGTGTGTGTGTATGAGTGTGTGTATGTGTACTGTATCACTACAACTGTCAGTCTTCCAAGCATTCTAAGTATTTGTGAGGTTAAGGTGTTTACTTGAAATGAGATTAAAAATAATGTATTTATAGGGTGCACAGCGTAAGATGTGGGATATTGCTAATACGCTTGGGTTGTCTGACACGATAATGAAGTTAATCGAAAGAAGAACAGCTCAAGTAATAATGATCATTTTTGTGTCTCTGTTACTCATTTTTTGTTTAGGATCGATACATCTTTTGGGGAGGAGTTATAATAACGCTTTTTATCATGTATATTGTTCTTCGTTATTTTTTGTAATATAATATATTTATTGCTCATTTGGCTTCAAGGTTGCCATTTGAGATACTATTAAATGAAATTTTATATAGATCAAATTGTATTACGTGGCCTAAAGTTTGTGTGTCTTGCTCAGCCACGCAACCACAATTCATTAGTTGCTTGTTTGGATTTTCCTGTGAGATCGATGCATATCTACAATTATTCAATTAGTTTAATATATTGGTGTAAAATTAGTTGGCATCTGGATTTAGTATATAGTTGGTGTGCCATTGCGTATCATTGATTTGATATACCACATAGATCTGTAGCATAGTATATATAGATGTACTAATTTATATTGCATCCTTTGCATAATGTATGCATTTCATTAGCTTCTGTTAAGTATTTAAGCATGTGCAGCTTGACTTCCTTATGCAACAATCAGCAAAATAAGAAAATGAAGATATTCTCAAGACACTACTGCAAGTGAGTCATAGGCTGTTTGTTTAAGCACATCAGTTCATGTTGCTAGTGTGTCTGGGTCCATGTTTCTTTGTGGCAGATATCATGAATTCCTATTTTCATTCTTTAGTTATGTTTCAGTCCTCATCCTCTTCTACTGTATAATATTATCACTAAACAAGACAGGATTTGGACTTGCAAATTCTTCAAACACAGCTACACCAGTATATTTGAACAACCAAACTTTCACTTGTCACAATTTGACCAATGCCAATCAGAGGATAATGTGCTTCACGACCCCTGGACTATTGAAAGCTATTGTTGATGCTGAACAACTTGCAAGGAAAGAATGTAGCAATCAATTAGAATACGAGAGATGGAACTGCTCTGGATTTGCTGTCATTACACCAAGCAATGTCACCAAATACGGTATGTCGAGTGTAAAGTGCTAATAATGTTGAACTGAGCTGGCATATTTTGTAGTAGTAATTAGCATTAGTCTTAGCTATGAATTGTATTTCATTATTGTAGCTACTGCAGAGACTGCTGTTATTCATTCTCTCATGTCAGCAGCTCTGGCACATGTTGTGACAAGAGACTGCAGGTTTAATGGCATGCAATGTGAATGTGGAAAGAATACAACTATAAGCAGTGCTGGGAATCAAGTCATGTATGGCTGCTCAAGCAACTGGGAATTCGGCATGGAAATGTCCGCTAAGTTCATGGATGGCAAAGAGAAGCATGGTGTCGTTATTGGTGACAGGCAGCTCATTAATCTTCAAAATAATCAAGTTGGAAGAACGGTAAGCTATTGTGACTTTTTTAAACGAATCCTAATTGTTTGTTTGATAATTAAAACCTCACATGGTAAATTGAGTCAGGTCAACTACATTTAGCATATACCATAGTTTCATTATTATAGTGCCTACAAGTTACATGCATAACACAAATATTTGACTAATTTGTAACCGGATTTCACTAGAATATTTTTAATTATTATCATTATTATTAAATCTTGTAGGTATTTCTTGATGTCAATCACAAAAAAGAACCGACCTGTAAATGTGTTGGTGTTTCTGCATCATGTTCAGCAAAGACATGCCAAAGAGGACTTGAGGCATTTTCTGTAGTCGCTGCTTCAATAAAAGACAAATATAAAAAATCGTGTAAAGTCTCTGTCAAGGCCTCAGCTCTACAGCCTCATCAATGTAATTCATCTTCAATCAGTAATACGACACTTGTTCACACTCTATCGTCACCTGATTATTGTCATAAAGACATTTCAAAAGGATCTTTTGGAGTCCAAGGACGGCTATGCGATCCTGCAGTAGCTAGTAAAAGTTGTGAAACGATATGCTGTGGTAGAGGACATATAGAGTTTACCAAAGATGTGGAAGGAAAATGCTGCAAGCAGGTTGGGTGCTGTGGAGTACAGTGCAATGACTGTAAACGTACTCTTACATTCTATGCATGTCGGTAATAAATGTTGTATATTTTTTAAATATTTTTATACTTATTATTCTATATAAAATTTTTATAAAATCATTGTAAGTAAATTTGTTTAAACATAATATTTATTTATATGCATAAAAATACATTTCAAAGAATCTTTTTATGTTTTCATCATTAATGTTTTTATTATAATGCGCCGTCAACACGTCACGTAGGTGATCTAGTTAATTCATATAATTCTAAATAATGCCCACAAGCCACACCCTGCATCTTCTGGAGGTGATTAGGTGAAGTTGTGATTCTGAACACGAAGCTTTAGAAGCCCATTCTCCCTCTGCTACACCCCTCTTTCCCTCTTCTCATCTTAGACCTTTCTTTGTCAGTCATTAAAAGTCAGATAAACGTTAGTTGTACGCTTGTAGTATGCATGGGCATTAGTTACACTCACTTTATTTACACATTCGCACTCGTTATGTCCTCTGGCATGATTCTGCTTTGGACAGCCTTTAATCCTACATTATATACTGTGTGCCATGTGTGTGTGTTATTTTTGTAGATTGCCGAAAGACGGAGTTATGAAAGGAGAGACGCTTGTTGAGTCAAGACTCTGGGAGAGGATTCGTCCTAAACTTTATTTACCTGATGACGCAGACGAATACACAACATCTTCACGGAGCTTAGCCAGTATGTGTGATAACTATTTCGACATCAGTCATAGAGTACATTATTGTGTCTGTGTATTGTAATAGAATAATATGCTCAATTACACCTAAACTTGTACTCATGGCGACGCTTGAGTAGGGGGATAGTGTGAAACAGCCTTTATTGGAATTTATGCATTATCTAATTTTATGCTTGAATTACATAGCCAGCAAATTACTATTACGATATATGTACATGTACGTTGAGACGTAAGACTTAGTTTGACTTTGTTTTTTTTGTTTTCAATGTATTGCATTGCATCATGTTCCATGTTGACTATACAGTCATTAGAGGTCACTTTGTATGGGGTTTGTAGTTTGTACTAAAATGCTTTCTTTTAGAAGCACACTTTTAAGTGTACATATAGTTTGTGAGGTTTGGCATGTTTTCTGCCATACTACTACACGTATAGTCACTAGTGTGATGAAGTTAATGATGAATCATACTGCTTGGTACTATTCTAACTGTTATTATTAATCCTACAGATTTATCACAAAGTGCTTTCATAAAGTCATGTTCAAAGAGAGAGAAACCTTTGAAAATGGGTTACATGGTTGACGTGTGCAGGTATTTTTTATGTTATGATTACGTTTTTTTATATGTCATCATGATGCATATTACAGGAATGGTTCTGTAACTCCTTGTGCTTTGATGCTCGGGTTGATTTATTTGCAACGCTTGTCAAAGTGTAATCGCGAATACTTGTCTCGTGTCCCTTCCACTGATTTGTTCTTGACATTAATGGTTTGTGTATATATTTTTGCTGTTTTTGTTTCATAGTATTTATTTATCAGGTTGTAACATCAAAGTATTTACAGGATGAAGGTGAATTGGAAGCACTGGTTAACTCCGAATGGGCTGATATTGGTAAGTTTATGTACTTGTATGTGTATATGCATGAGGTGTCAGTTGTTAGATATTTATAGTGGGCATGTTTTGTGTTGCCTAACTGTCCTGGAGGCCTTAATCGAGTTTTTGTTTATTCTATTTATTTTTGTATGGGAAGACCTGTTTTGTTTGCTAATGACTCATTATGGCAGGAATGGGAACAAAAATATAAATTTTGGCCTGACATCATGTAATATGACACACGGTTATAGTCAGCTGGAGTTCTCTGATATAAGCTAGGTCACTGATTGAATTAGTGACTGTGGCAAGCTATAGCAGTAGCTGCACGTGATTGCACTCAGAATTGCTTTATCCACACTATGTAGTCAATAATTAAAATTTTTTTGTGGGCAGGCACACTTGTTGTGTCTATTATTGACTGTGACAATAATGATACTTTAATGCATGCTAATTGCAAGTCACATTAGTGTGTTCATTCCACAATAGGGTGTTGTCTCTACTATGTACATACTCAACTAATGCATAATCGTTAAGTTTATTATTGTTATCACTTGTAGGTAAGCGTTCAAAATCAAGGGTTGATTCATTGGAGCATGATTTCCTTCAAGCAATTGTGAGTTGTTATAATTAGCAGAGCTATGCATTCAGTTTTGGTATTCATATGTCATACGTGTACATGTATATGTAGTAATTTTTCTCACAGCTGCAATGATGCTAGGATTGCATCAGTAGTAGAAATTTTTCATGTTTGTTTGTCCACGTTTCAGTTTATTCTAAAAGACCCAATCACATAATGAAAGTTCACATTATTGGAGGATGAAATTGATAAATTATGCAAAGCACATCCTAATTAGCTCCACGTTATGCCTATGTTGTGATACTGAATAGCTGCAATAAGGATGTGTGAACTTAATGATATTTCAAACTTGTGATTCTGTTTGCCCATTTGCTCTTCTACGTTTTTGTGTAAGGAAGTACAATTGATAAAGCTGTCATCATGTAGGATTGGAAACTCTTCGTGTCACAGAAAGAGTACAGGGACTTTGTGATGTCTGTGGAAGCAGAGTAAGGAAACGAACATGTATGTACACATAGATGAATTAATGTTTGCTTAGGATATCATGCACTGAAGCACAGTCACGTGGGTGGTGGTCTTATACAGATTTAGCTTCACTTTGGAATGCTTCAGACACTAAAGGAATACTATCAACCATTATCAAACAGTGCACTAAAGTGAGTCACCTTTCTGAATGTCATTAGTACTCATTTACTGCTTCTCATTTCAGACAATGGGGACAAGTTTAGCCATCTATTTGGTTGCTGTTACTGCTCTGCTTTCTTCTTGCCCCTCGTGGAATGAAGCATGTAGTAACAACACTCCTAATAAGACAGTTGGTCTTGATAGTGGGTCTGATGTATCTCTAATTGATGACCACTCTGCATCCCATTCCCATTGGGTCTGTCCTCCTGTTGTTAATGTGACAGATCCTGCTGTGCTGGACTTGGGATTAATGAGCAGTGAAGAAAGAGTAAAATCCCTTGTTGATTTATGCTGTTTTGGGGAACAGAATCAAAGTGTCATGACTAATCGTGTTATTCCATCCTTTTACACATCGGTTATTAACAGTACTGCTAAACCAGGTAACTTGATTATTGGGAATTTTGATGGAGGAGGAAAGCCTGGTTTTGTGTTTAAACATTGTCATCATTGATTTATTTTAAAAAGTTATTTTGATATTGAGAAAATATTGTTAGTCAATATGCTGCATCGTCAGTTGTACATGTACTCATTTGTACTTGGTGAGTAGGAAATGTGTGGTACATTGTATAGTAGTTGCACACCCACATCTTACCACACAAAATTGTAGTAGGGATACATACACACACGATTATTGAGAGAAACAGAAGAGGCTACGAGTGTAATAGGATCATACATATAATTACGGTTTTGCTGTTATTGTATTAGATGTCTGACAAACAAAAGAAAGTATCACCTGAGGGCAGAGAGACTCACCCTCACTACTGCTTCAGTTTGAGTAACCTTTAATTCGATTGAGTAATGACAATCATCAAAGTCTGTCGAATGTCTTTGTGCTTGCTTACAGATACATGTGTGATAAATTCTAATGATTCCTTTGTTGTGGGGGGTGAAGAAGCCAGAGACAAATTCATTGAATTAGCCCCACACCTTATAAGATGAATAATTATGTCACACGCCCGACTATCGATCATACTTTATTCTAAAAAGAATAGTCTCACACGATGGATGTACTTTAGTTAGCAGGTGATGGTTATTAGTTTGCAATAATTTATGACGGACATGGTAAGTCATAAAGAATGATAATATTTGTGTAAACGTGATGAAATTGTGTATTCAATCGTTGGGGTGTGGTGGTAGATTTATATTGGGTAATAAAACAAACTTTTCTTAAGAAATTTCAATTTTATGGCTGTTGTTTATAGTAAACACAGCAAAAATTGATTATTACCAATATCATTATTGTATAGAAAATATTATAAAACTAAAATAGATTTAAAATCTATGACATCACAATCTGTTATATCAATTTTCAAACACGAATTTAAAAACATGATTACAGAACAACTAATGTAATTAGTAGTTTTAAAATAATGAATAATAATACACAACTTTAAGAATCAGCCACTGTAAGGTAGTCATCATCAATTTCACTTGCAATGATAAAAGTCTCATTTCATTCCTCTTTGATTCAGGTATCTGATCGAGTTCGGCTTTATTCAAAGTATCAGAAGAATTAATTTGATGTACCTATTATTACTGGTACTCTTTTCAAACAAAAGAAGTTGACGACAAACCATTCTCACAATGTTTTGGTGAATATTGATCAGCCTTAATAGTGACAAAAACACTTGTTTGCTATTTAATAAGATAATTAAATGAACATGAATTGTTTACAAACTTGAAATGAAAATGGATGTAGAAGGTTTGAGGCTCTTAATGACAAACTGCCAATTATTTCAGAATTAGCTTTTTTGCTGCCCTCATCTGTACATACACAAGTAATAATGAAAGATACCCATCAGCATTATTAACTGTTTTTAGAGAGAGGTATATAAAGTACAAATATAATGACCAGTCATGATGTAAGCAATAAAGAGAAGCTCTTTCCTAAAGAAAAGAACACTACCAAGCCATGCTATTCCAATCACAGAAGTTAGAGACAGAGCATTTTATCCAATACCTAAATAATAGTAATAAATTCTTTATGCTGTTGTCCCCCACCTAAGATGTGACCACAAACCGATTACATAAACAGATGTCATATCAATGTACAGTATAAACTAATCACATTTTCCAACTGAAAGACATCCAAATTACATCAAAACAAAACACATAATGCACACAAAACAGTATACCCTAATTCATGCATGGCAAAACAGAATTCAAAGAAAGCAATCGTTGCATGGAGTACACAAGCCAATAATAATACTGGATACTAGACAAGGTTTGATTAGGTAAAATACAAGAATCAGACCTGGGGTCAATTGTAAAACCTCAATTACAATTACTCATTCCAAATTTCAAATACACTTCTTTTGTAAGAATAGACTCAATTAGATTACAATTATGCCATGTTGAAGTAGTTTCAAATAAAAATACTACTTCGATATGTTTCTACATCATAGAAGCTATTGTCACTAGTGAGCTAAACAGCACACATATCATGAGCTCATAAGCAAGCACTATAGTTCACATTCATGAAATGAAGTACTTTGTTTTCAATTCTTTGAACTCCAAACAAAAAAGTCAGTTGTACTATAAACAAGCTGATAGCTACACAGCATTATGTGTACATAGTTCCAGATGCTCCAGAGTTTTCTGTAATGATAGCATAAATATCAATAAAATAATTATGCTTCTTAATTATCTCATACAGAAATAACACAATATCATAAGTAACATAGATAGTTACAAACACTTGTTCAATAGTTGTCAAAATAACCAAATTACATGTACGCCACATTTAAAAATTCAGCTTAGAATTTATTCCAATTTATATTATGTTTTTAGTCACTTAATTGGTCTATTATATTAATGTGCAGATGTTTTTGGCTGGAAATAATATTGGTGATTGCTCTATGTGTTTGTAACCTATGGACATTACATTAGGCTATTCCAATAAAAATTGTGTTTTCACATTTCCTGCCCGTATTTGGTGCTGTGTTACTATTAATAATTATTGTGGTTTTGGATTCACAATTTATACAGTGTTAATCAATAATACATCATATTAATTATTACACTACCTGCTCAAGAAAAAAGAAACTAAACATTCAATTGCAATGGCCTTATCCAATAACTGTTACTTACTGATGCTGATGAGTCTTGACTTTGGCTTCTACCGGTATTTGTTCATGATTGTGTTAAAGTCTTGCTTTGCCCTACCTACATGAACAGCAGGAAGAACATTCTTGCTCAGGTGTCCAGCAACATCACAACATGTCATACAAGATGATTTATTGGCGAGAGTAAGATTTTGTCTGTGGAAAGTAATTAGAGAATTTTATATGAACCACTGCCACATGCCATTGAGTATACTTGGATAGAAATAAAATGGCAGATTTTATATTGGCCAATTAATCACCAATTATGACTAAAAATATAAATGAATGAATTCTAAGCTAATTTTTAAAATATGGCCTACATGTAATTAATAGCTCCAGGGCTGGCCTGGCAAGACTGTTTGTGAACAAAAACTACATAGCATAAACCCAATAAAAATAATTGATGGAAATTACATTATTTGGATAAGTCACATGATTCATAGCATCTTACACAGACCATGCACTTGCTGAGCTTGTTACTTGTATCATGGTATCACCGTATCAGACCCTTGAGACCCCAGCTTCACTGGCCGCTGTCCACCAAAATGAAAGCACAATAGACTATAAAATAGATCTATAAAACATAAATAATATCAAGATGTACTTAAAGAGTCAGTTGAAAATTTGAAATCACTTCAGGATTAGCATTTAGCAGGATATTTAGATCGAGAATAACCTCTTGAATCATGTACACATAATATCAGAAATATTGCCCAAAATGAATGAATCAAGTCTGATTCTCTACTACTACAGTTCTTGTGGCCTGCAAATTTTTGATGATTGTAGTCAATACTGACTGATTCAGTGATTGCCCAAAAATCAAAATGCATGATTCAATCATCCAGAACTGATTTCAGCATCAATCCTGATCCAGATTCCAACTAAATTGGCTGAGTAGAATGTCCAGGCATAGCAAGTCCTTTTTACCTGACCAAGTAAGTCCAATAGTCCATGGGTCTGGCTTGCGAGACTAGATCTATCCATAATTTCATTAATTTGGGTCCGTTTCTAGTATTCATCTATGTTTGGGTGAATCAGTGATCCGCCATTGTTGAATGTGTTAGAAGATTAATCATGAAAAGTGTAGCAGTATGAGAGACTCAGTGTTGTGTGTTTGATCAGTGTGCCAAGCAATTTTTATTTCTTGGGCCATGGATCCATGTTTGGGCACAGCCAATGATGACTGAGGTATGAATTTTATTGAGTAATAATTATTAGATTACTAAAACTAGTCTATTTCTACCTAGTTGTACTTGACCTTGATTTCAGGTTAATTTGCATAAATAACTTACTTACTAACAAGTATCCCGGGAGGTTGAATAAATATCCTGGGAGGTTGAATAAGTAGCCAGGGAGGTTGAATAAGTAGCCCAGGAGGTTGAATTAGTAGCCCAGGACATAGGGGTACTGGGGTAGGAACAGGGGGGGCAGGAGGGGCTTAAGCCCCCCCAACCATAGGCGGCTGCAGGATTTCAGTGCAAGTAGGGCAAAGGTGTGGCTGAAAGTGGGAGTGGTCAAAAAGTAGGTGTGGCCATGACCACACCCACATGTCTTGCTCTTGAGTTTACAACATGGTTTAAGTCTCTAAAGACTTCTATTTTAGCACTTAGTGACAAAATTCAGTTGAAAAAGGCTCTGAACTTCTCAATGAAGAGTTACCCGGCCATTCTTTTGTTCAAGAGGAGAAAATTCAGTACCTAAAAGGCCTCTTTCAATACAGAGTATCAGTAGCTAG